AACGCAAAAGCTTGGTTCCACACCATTGTACAAGCACAAAGCTCGTACTTTCCCTCACCCTTCTTCTTTTGCTCAGACTTGGCTTCAAATATCTTCGCCACAGACGGCAAGAGTGAGCGTTCATGACCTCGAGCACGAACACGGGGTGTAACTCCTATAGTCAATTGGATTCCCGACGCCTTATCTGGATTGTTTCTAATGCTCCGAGGCAATGAACATCTCACAACCTCTTGACCAGCAACCAAAGCTTTCGTCGTAAACATAAACCTTTCATCCGTTTCCCAATTCCCTAACCCAAAATGGCAACTAAATTGGCCTGGATCGGATTCTCTAGCAGGTCTCAAATTCAAACCCTTCGCAAACACAACCACTGTTTCCCCGTCCAAAACAGCTCCATACGTCACATTTTCCCAAGAATGAACAGTCTGATTCTCAGTCATCCGTAATCCATTTTCTTCCCTCAATTTTTCATTTTTATACCGCCACCGTAAATTTACCACTGTCGAATAATTCACTGAAGGGATTGGGCATCTCACAATTGACCTAAATTCATCATATTCATCTACAGACAACACATTCTCCTTATCAACAATAGCATTATCCAGTACATTTTTACGGTAATAAACACATTCCAATTCTGCGATAATACCCTTCTTTATAAACCCATTTTTCCTTCCATCAGCAACCAACAACATAAAATCATCAGGAAATAAAACCCGGTTCTCTATTTTTATGGGCATCAACAATTTATGAAAATCTTGGATTGATTTAGCAGAATTTGACAATCTTGAAACAACTAAAACAGGCCGAAAAGCCGAAGAATTAAAGGGAATTGTAGATGATAAAAGAGAAAGAAAAGTGAGAAAACTTGAACACAAAACAAAAGATCTTACTGTGAAAAAGTACAGTGGAGAACACGATGAATGTGACTGTCTGAACATGCGTTTTCTGTTATGACACTGCCCTGAAGAATCCATTTTTTGTGGGTTTAATATGTTCTGTTTTCTTGAGGTTGTTCTTGAAATACCGGTGACTGTCGGGGAGAGAGAGAGCCAAAGCGGTGGAGAAGAAAAGTGTGGATTTTTTGTTGGAAAGAGTTGCTGGATTGGGTTGTCTATGTTAATTATTTTAGTTAAAAGGCAAATTCATCTCGAAGTCAGCATACGCCTGCTGAAGCTTATTATTGAGGGAATATTTGGTCCAAACACCGTGTGGAATTTAAGTTGTTTAAAGGAAAAGTAAAACGAAGATTCTAAACTTCGTCAATACTTCATTGCCATTTGCCAATTGCCACTTTCAAATGAACTTCATTTTTTGCGATGAGAAAATCTACCTTCTAAGTCTTGTTCAATCAGTGCATGACTGAGTTAATTTATATAAGAATAATGTTAATAAGCTCAATAAAAGATAAAGTTAAATGACTAATTTAATTGTACTTCTTATTTAATATCACATTAGTGACACCTGAATTGATATTTTAACACCGATAATGTTAAATAACATTACTATTTCTATAAACTTGAAGTTTTTTTGAGGGTCACATGACAATTGAAGAAAAAATTGGACATTTTTCTATTGTTTCTAATTAATTACGAAAAGTGAGGGCCTGTTTTGAAGTTTTGAGATACTGGTTATAAGTTTTTTTAAGTATCGATTTTAAGTGATTATAAGGAATTCAATTTTGAGTTGATTTTTAATAGCGGATTTTAAAATAGTTCAACATATAGTTGAGGGTTTAAAGTAGTTTATTGTCTAGTGAAAAAATCGATAATTTTTCATAATTAACGTTATTCAATAATGAAAAATGAAGAGATCGAAGTAAAATAATAAGATGATTAAACAGGTAAGGTTTAGTTTTGCAAAATATTTATTCAAAGAAGTATCCAGCTCTTCTCTTTTTAAAATCTTTAAGACTATTCAATTAAGAAGGGTAAAGAGAAACACTAAAACGTATTTCGAATGCGAACACAACTTATATACACTTGGATCGGACATTCGGGATACGATTTTTCTCACTATAGATCCCCCTTTACGACGTGCGAATAGGACTCCCGGAGAAGCGACAAAGCGCATCATAACTTCTACTATATTTTTCTTGACGGAAGTATGGAGTTTATTATGTGAACACACACTAAAATATACAATAGGGCTACTGTATTTTATTCTGAAAATGAATCTTAATCATACACTTATATATTTCACAATTTATTTTGTATCGACGTTCTTGAAAATGCAACATAAAACAAAATCACGACGAATTAGCTTCAAATTATAATTCATTCCGTCATATGAACTCTTTTTCTTAATAATAATAATCTAAATTCCTTTTCCAGGAATAATTCAACCTAACGGTATTAATGAATAATGATGGGCGATAGTGGCATAAGAGCTGGCAATCGGTGGCTAAAATGTCTATATATTAACCCATAATTTTTATTACTTAACTAATAAATGTGTGAATAAAATTTAAACCTTAATAAAATATTTAGATACCATGTGCCTTCACAAAACCAATTATTGATTCATTGACCACATTATGAGCAATCGGAGTTTCTTCATACCCGGTTTAGGAAGTAAAAATTTTAATGGGCTAGCCCCTCCCAAATCCGTCATTGTCTACGGCAAGCTTATAAAGTACCAAACAACTTGAAGAGTTGGCTTTCAAATACGAGGCTCTATTAACAACGGGAAGTAGGAAAATTTCACAGGCAAAGACTCTGGTTCAAGTCGAGAATGGCTCGATAGTTGTTTGAAAAATCTAATTACTTGATACATCTTCCACTTGGCTTGAAATATATAGTTCAATTAGTAGGGTTCTGCTCTTGCAAAATGGAGCTATAAGCTAAATGTGATATATTTTTGCTAAGGAAACAATGTGCTCGTTCATTAAAAAATAAAAATAAAAAATCGATTATTCTTTGAATTTTTTATTTTTATTTATTTATTTATTTTTTAAGTAAATGAATTTAGAGCTATATCCAATTTTGTCATGCTTTCTATATTTATGTATGATAGTATAAGATAGATTTCTACTAGAAACGAAAACATGATATACTTGATTTCTGGCTAAAGAAAAGGGGGTAAAAAGTGTGATTTTTTTTTTAAATACGAAAAATTTATAAATTATATATAAATGTTGTCAAACAGAAGCTAAAATTTTTTGAAATATTTTCTTTTTCAAAGAGAAAATAAATATTTTCCCTATACGTAATTTCCTAAGACAAATTAGATATACTCACTCAGGATTTGGCCACACGAAATCTTCTTAGTTTTATAATTTACATAATTCTGATCAAAACAGTGATCATGATTGTTAGGGTTCTTAATCCATGCTAAGTCGTTCTTTCTAAAAAATAATTATACAAATTAGGAAATAATTATACCGTGCAAGGGATTTATCTGTAGCGAGTTGGAAATGGAAACGGAGCATTTTGCCTCGATTACCTAATGGAAGCCAAAATTTCCGCCCCACTCGAAGTGAAAGCGAAACGAGACGGGATATGTTGTCTTAATCCCCATCCAATCTAATTCATTTACATATTTCCATTTTCAGCAAGGGATTATATTCACAGTAAATTTTTTAATTAGTTATATCACATTTCAAATCATACTTAAGATCTTCAATCTTTGTTCAATGTTGCGTTTATGGCTTTAACCTTTTTTACGCATTCTTATATTAAACATTCTTTTAATTAACATGTCTCATCTCTTATAATAATTTTTATCCTAATGGTTCATCGGGAGGACATAAAACGATTTATTTGCCCGTCATATTTGAAAAAATAATAATAATAAATACAAAAATACAACAAAATAACTTTCCTCATTTCCGAACATGCAAATGGATGTTTCAAGAGAAAACATCATCTAAGAATAAAAATGTGCTAATTAATGGAAGGTAAGAATTTGATGAAAAATGTTAGGAATATAAATGTTAAGAACGGGCAAGACGAAGCCCGTAATGGTAAGAGTTCGACCTATACTGTCCCAATAGGGTCCCAAACTCGTCAGACTTCTTGAAGTCTTCAACAGCCTGAGCTCGAGCCTTCGCCAGCTCTTCCCCAAAGCACCTCTGGGACTGCAGAAGCTCGAGCTTAACTTCCTCGACCTCAGCCTTGGATGTCTCATGTTCCTCTCGGGACTTCTTGAGGTCAGCCTCAGCAGTCTTGAGGGCTTTTTCTAGGTCACGAGCTCGTTTTTTAGCTCCCTCTTTCTCCTTCAAAACCTCCTCCATTTCATTCGAAATGTTGATACCATTCAAAGTAAGACCTCGTGCCACACTCAGCGTCTGCACAAAGAAGGAAAGGAAGCTCGAAGTCAGTTCGATCAAAGAAGATGAAAAAATAAAAACACAGTTAAGGTTGGCATCTTACCCTTAAGGTCAAAGGCTCCAGTGTCTTGACCTCTTCATTAATGTTAACCTCCTTCTCGAACCTTTCGACAAGGTCCTTCACAAGGGCACACTCCGTGTATTCCTCGAGGGCACTGTCCGAAATAAGCTCGAAGCCTGAATCAGCGACGCCATAACACACTTGAGCTCGATCTTGATATTTCGACGTCCCATGAGGCGTTGAGGTCGGGCTTCTTGACGTCGAGGGTTGACCCCTAGGACGTGCCGGGCTCTCAACATCCACTGTAGGCACCCTAACATCGGCATGCTTGGCCCTTTTCTTTCCCTTTTTTGGGGCCGAGGCTTTGGACATTGGCCTTTCGCCTTATGATGAACATTGGCCAGCAATTTGGAAGGATCAAATGACATCTCTAGATCTACAAGAAACAAAGGCATTAGCATGATCTCAACATCAGGAATACGACGATAGAGCATAAAAAGAAAAAGACATACCCTTGAGGCCTTTAACATTTGCAAGGTCGAGGGTGTCATCCTCGAGCAAATAATCGATCTTCTCTGCCAAGGGGTCGTGGTTAACTAACCTTATTCTGTCCCTCTCTAGAACCTCAAATTACGCTTGACCTTTATTAAACCTATCCTTACCAGGAATCTCCCACCTCGGGCTAAAAGGATGGTCGGGGTCTTGGGGTTTTACAAAGAAAAATCTCTCTTTCCAACCCCGAAGAGAGCTTGGGGTATCAGGCGTTCTAAAGCCCCCCTTGGTTAACAAAAACACAAAACAGTTGAACCCTGACGAGTACTTCATATCGTACACCATCCTCAGAAGGTCGAGCCTAGGCTCAATATCGAGGCATCTACATAATATAAAGAAATAGACCAACAGCCTCCGACCGTTACGGGCCAACTGGCCCGGACACATATAGAACGAAGTTAAAAAGTGGACAAAAAAGGGGTGAAGAGGCCACCGCATCCTAGCCTTAAGGGCATCCCTAAAAAATGTCATCTTCTCCTCTTGAGCTCCTAAGATATCTTTGGTGCTCTCAGGAACCCTAACATCACAAATGGGCATCACCCCGAACTCTCTAGCTATCTTAATAATTACATGTTCCTTATAGGTGGTCGGGTTCTTTGGATAAGTCAGTACCACTTCCCCTGGAGAGTGCGAGCTAACAGGAAAAGCCAAAGTGACAAGGTCTCGACTTTGATCACCCGAAGTTTCGACAACCATACTTGGGGCAGTAGGGTTCTCATTATCCCTCGACCTCTTAGAAGGCCTACTACTGTCACTATTACTCGACCCCTTACTACTACTACTACTTCTACCACTACTGCTACTGCTCGACATTACTCTACTCAAATAATTAACAACTTAAAGGCTCGAACTTTTACCTTAATGGCGATCGCTCACAACCCACTATCCCCGAACTCGAGCTTCTTTTACAGAGAGTGGAGAGTAAAAAGTGAAAAAGAATAGTGGGGGTATTTATAGGGGTCATGGGTATACCAACAATCACTTAATCTAAAACCCTTAAAACAGGACACGTGGTAGACATCCAAGTTCGAGCTCTGACAACCAGCCACATGACAGACACGTGACACAGCAGATCTCCAACAGGTAAATGACAGGTGTCAAGGTCGATATCAAGCCACGACATCCTTTTTGCATCTCAATCCGAGATCGCACACTCTGCACAATCTACAGCTCAGATGCACGGGGGCCTATGATGACTCCTGATTGGGTACCCCGAACTAGTCCTCATTTTGTCCATAATCCTCGACCTCGACCTATGACCCCCGAGTTGATCTTGGC